GTCCCGGGACCTGCGCGGCGGCGCACGTGGAGAAGGCCGGCCCCCAGGGGGCGCTCCGGCGCAGCCAGGCCCGAGGCTACCTGTGAATGGGCAGGTGTGGCCGGACGGGGCGGAGCTGCAGCCTCTCCCCGCGGCGGCGGAGTCGTCTGTACCCCTCCCACTTGAACCCTTCAGGTTTCATGTCCCAGGAAGAGAGAAAAAAGTTTGAGAGCCTGAAATCCGACTTCAACAAGTACTGGGTCCCCTGTGTCTGGTTCACCAACCTGGCAGCCCAGGCTCGAAGGGACGGGCGGGTCCGTGACGACATCGCTCTCTGCCTGCTCCTGGAAGTGAGTCAGTCAGCCCTGGGACCAGGCCTGTCTGCTTGGCCATAGGGAGTGAGAATTTTAGGGGTTAACTCTCAGACCAGGCCAACTCTGTCCCAAGTGCTGCAGAGGCGCTGTACCTGTATGAACGCAAGTGGCTTTTGGCAACAGCTGTTGAGATAAGTGTCATTATTCCCATCCTCTTTCACAGATGAGGAAACTGAGGGGCAGGGAGGGGAAAACAAACAAAACAACAATAAAACGTGTCCAGGTCACACAGGTCAGTGATGGCTGAGAGATTCGCAACCGGACATTGTGGCTCCTCAGCCTGAGATCACCACAGAGAGCCCACACAGGCCCATCTGAGCTCCCCTCTGGCCTCCTCATCTCCCCGATCCTCTACTGACCTCTTTTTTTTATTGATCATTTTATTGAGGGCTCTTATGGATATTATATCAAGCCATAAATCAGTTACATCAAGCGAACTTGTATAGATGCTGCCATCATCGCCTCCACTGACATCTTCTTCCTGCTCTTCCACCAGGAGCTGAACAAGTACCGTGCCAAGTGCAGCATGCTGTTCCACTATGACTGGATCAGCATCCCTCTCGTCTACACCCAAGTAACTGCCTCTCTCCTCCCCAGCCCCAATGCCTGCTCACACCCTGTGCTCTGTGCGTGAGACGCTGGCGGACAAACTAGTTGGGGTTCCGGCCCCGGGCAGCCCATTCCTGGGAGACACCCCCACCAAGATGACACCGCACCCCCACCCCATGCTGCCATAGCCTGTGACCTACTTTAATGACTGGTCAGGGTAGGGGCACTTCTTCCTGTTCCTCTGCGCCCTGCCCTGAGCCTGGTCTCTGCCTCTCCAGGTCGTGACCATAGCTGTATACTCCTTCTTTGCGCTCTCCCTGGTGGGCCGCCAGTTTGTGGAGCCAGAAGCAGGGGCTGCCGAGCCCCGGGAGCCTCTAGAGTCAGGCCAGGAGCCAGCGCCGGCCCTGGGAGACCTGGACATGTATGTGCCCCTCACCACGCTGCTGCAGTTCTTCTTCTACGCTGGCTGGCTGAAGGTGGGTGCTTTGTCACAGCATCTCTGTACAGCAGGGGGCGGCAGTAGGCCCTGGGGCTTCAGAGGTGAGAGGCAGGTACTTGGGTGGGACAGCATGCGGCACTCGACACAGGGCACTTATTCGGCACCAACACAAGCCTGGGGACAGAGGGAGACTCTGAGCCCAGAAAACGCTGCTCTGCAACCTGCAGGTGGCCGAACAAATCATCAACCCCTTTGGTGAAGATGACGACGACTTTGAGACCAACAAGCTCATTGATCGCAATCTGCAGGTGAGCAGGCCCAGGGGACCTCCCTTTGCGCTTCCTCTCCCAGCTAGCTCTCAGGGCCAGTGTGAACAGCAGAGCGGGGTTTGGGTGACCCGCTGCCCACTTTTCTGCTGGACCAGGTGTCCCTGCTGTCCGTGGACGACATGTACCAGAACCTGCCTCCTGCCGAGCAGGACCCGTACTGGGACGAGGACTTGGCACAGCCACCTTACACTGTGGCCACGGCGGCCGAGACGCTGCGCCCTTCCTTCCTGGGCTCCACCTTCAACCTGCGGTGAGTGGCCGGCGCAGGACTTCACCTGGCCAGTGGGCCCACGGTCCCCGCCCACTCCGGGGA